TAAGCTATTAAAATCACGTTACGGATCATATGATTTACTATGTTCGTAACTCGATTTTAATAGCAAACCTCCCATTTGTTGATTTATTAATTACGCGTTTAATTTACATTTTTTTTTTTTTATTATTATAGGGCAAAATAATACCACAAAGTCAAACTCATACTCCATTTTCAAATGATCATGAAACAATTATAAGGCATGCCGTGTTAATTTTCTTCCATTTGAAACATAATTACGTTATTCTTTGTATCCTAATAATAAATTATTTAAATTATTATAAACCCTAGACTTGTGTTACGAGATTTATATAATCTTGTAATTATTGCAAAAGCAAAGTATGAACAAGGCCCCACGAGTGTTCAAAAATGCATTGACATCTTGCATGCAAATAGATTATTACAAAACCTCAAGAAAGAATCGGTCAAAAATATCGATTTTTATTTGCCTGTAATATTGTATATTTGGAAACCTATCGAATTGGATATCAATTATGAGGTAAATAATTATATTCTAATTAGTTATTATAGACCTTTCTTTAATAATTCGGGTCTTTTGAATAGGATGTAATCCGTGCTTTGCCGCTCTTAAGTAATTGTGGTGATTTAATCAGATGTTTAGTCGCTAATAATCCACAAATGTTTCATAAGGTATAATAATATGTTATGTAGAAATTTCTATAATAAGTTTTTTATTGTTAATATGATTTGATATTCCTTTAGGTCACGGATATTATCCTAGAGGTTCACAAATATTATCCTCATAAATTTAAAGATCGCATCAAGTTTGTTTCATTATTATTATTGGGATTTTATATTTGTTTATATCAGTTTATAATTATATATTAATTTCTTTAAAAAGAAAAATGCTGTATACTATGGTTAGTCTCGCAACACATCACGCCTTTAACATGCGGCTTAAGCTGATTGATTTAAAGATATTACCGGAAGTTGTGCTGCGACTTACTGTTCTCTGTTCAGATGTTGTATGTATCTATTTTTTGTATGGATTATTTTAAAAATTCAAATTTTATATCATTTTATTATTAGGTATTATGTCTTGAAGGAATTTTGTCGCGAAATCCTAAATGGATAACGTCACAACAAGTTCCACAGGGTCTAATCAATGATCTAAAAAGTAGCTTATTTATAACTTTGCGCAATTGTGTGGTAAATGTTTAATTCATAAATTATAGAACGAATTTAATAATTTCTATTTTAAAATTAAACATTATATTATCTAATTCCAGAATAAGGTACAACAACCATTAACTCATCATCGAGCAAGGCTATGTATATTAATGCGGATTATTTGTGGCTTTGTACATTTATTTAAAGTAAATTTTGATCCAAACGAGTTAGAAGTTTGCTTAACAGTTATAGAACATGCCGGATCAGACAGGTATAGATTTCATTTATCAAAACCATTATTAGTTTTATTAGTAACATTTGATTCTCCTATCATTCTACAGGCTCAAAAAATTATGTTTGTGCTTCTTGTTACTTTGTTCTGAGATGTTAATTAAAACGAACAGGGTAAAGTCTATCATAATTAGTTTTAATATTTCTAATTGATTACATTTACCAAAATTATTTGTCTATTTATCTTAGTTATTACTTGTAAATTCGTTTGCAAAAATAGTTAATCATAATAAGCAGTTGTTTTTGATATTTGCTTACTTTTTCCGTACAAGTCAACTCGATCAAATATCAAAAATGTGTATTTCAACCCTGGCTATGGATATTGAAATATGTATTTATATTCTCTAAATTATTTATGAATGTTTATTTGGTCTTTACTCTTTCATTAATTATTAATCAGCTATTAATTCGTTTAGCTGGTTACGGTTTAGTTGAATTAAGAAACGCAACGAAGGACGTTCTTTTCTCTGAAGTTACTTTGGCCAGAAGTGCTTTGGAAATAGAACCAGACACTTTTGACGGATTAGGAGTATGTTTATAACACTATAATCGTTTTATCGAAGTTTTGATCCAATTTTTAATACATTCTTTCGGTTAAATAGTTGGCAAAAGATCCTAGAGATATTGCTTTTAATGTAGTTTACGTGATGTTAAAGGGTGGAGTATTTCATAAAGGCAAGGTAGATATTAAGCCTTGGATCATGCGACAAATGATACAAGCAACGTTACCAATCCATTCTCAGTTATGCCCTTTAATAAAGACATATGCTTCTAGGTAAAACTTTTTATTTATTTTATAAATTATTATAGAAGTGGTTCTTTTGAGATATTTAAATTATAGTTAAACATTGTTTAGCATCTTTGATATTCACGGTATCGTTTATCCAACACCAATGAGCAAAATACCGGAATTTCATATATTCACGTTTTTTCGAGAGAGAATTGAAAAAATTACTCCAGCACATATTCTTTTGTTTTATTATGTACTTCAGTTTAATATAATTGCGAGAGAACGGAAGTCAGTTGGAGGTCAAGCATCATTACAAAAAACTAGTATGTCATAAAATCATATATGTTTTGAAATGTGATCTAAAATTCATTATTGACTGTATATTTGAATTTGATTAGTTTACTATTCCAATTTACCTTATTCTTCGAGTCTCACGGAATCAATCCCCGTTCGAAGAATACTAATTGAAGCGGAGAAATGTGACAATGGCTTGGCATATCGTAATGTTTATCCTGAGCTTCTTGGACTCATTGCTTCAAGTTATCCCGAAATTTTTGATATAGAAAATCTCTTGGCTGAAGAAGATCGTCTTCCAAAGTAATGGTTTATTCTTTATATAAATCCGTTTAAGCAAAGTACAGATTTTGATTTAAATGGTTTATGTTTAATAGGACTTTGAGGCAAAATCAGTTGGTTGTCAAAAATTTTATTCAAATATCCATTTCAAATTTTGAAGAAAATCCGGTAGAGGCTTTAAATGGTAATTTCTCAAAATATATGAAACTATTAGTTTATTATATACACTAAATTTTGATTCAATAATGTAGCCTTGAAAACTTTGGAATCTATGGATCCGGGGGATTTGTCAACTCGTTGTAATCCACTTATGCTATCTTTATTACCGAGAATACTTTATCTGTTTGTATCTGGCTCCTGAAAATTGTTTTTTAGATCTTTTTTACTTTATCTAATGAATTTAACTCGTGTATAGCAAGGATCTCAGAATCATACAATCGGTATATCGTATCTGGTTGTCACTCTATAGTATGAATCCTCATGAAGCATCTTTATTGTTCATAAATGCAACTCGAGGACAGCAAGATCAGAAAATAAGGTTTATTATTTGTGAATTCTACTTGCTATTTATATTGCTATTTTAAAGCATTTGAATATAAATTCCATTTTATTTTCGTTATAGATTTACGGAGTTGCAACTTATGATGGATCCATTGCTAGTTATGCGTTGTGACCCCCAAGTGTTTAGATGTCCTCCAATTTTTAAAATCTTTTTAAAGGTATTTAGAATATTTTATATGTATTTATCTTAATAGGTTATTAAAATCTATTATTCTAATTAATTTCTTTTTTAGGTTTTGAAATTTTATATGAGAGGTTCCCGATTTAGATTAAGTCGACTTCAACAAGATGAAAATGAATATTTGAAGGTAATTTCTTACAATTTTCGAAATTTTTCACTTGTTGTTTTTGAAAACACTACATATATTACCTATTAGGATCGTTTTACGTTTGAAAAGATGGATAAATTGATATTAGTTCAAGAAATTTCATCGATGAAAATATTACTTGAAATTTGTGAATCTAAACCGGACGATAATCCTGGTATATTACAATTAACCAAGAATTTTTAATTCATGAATTATAAATTGATTGATTATTGTTCTTTATTAGGGATATTGGAGGAAATTAGAAGCGAAACGTTTAGTTTTCTTCACGAATTGTTCATTGAAAACACAATACTATGTAGGGAATTACATTTTGAAGGTTATTCTATTGAATTAATACCTTTGACAACGCGGAGAATCGAGTCAATGCGTAAGTGCTTATTTGGGTGGTTATAAAATTTATATTAAATTCATATTTATACATGTATTTCTTAAATATAAAATAATTAGATATGTGTATAACTTTTGCGCCTGAATTAATTAACGATAAATCTGATCCAAAAAGGCAGTTGTTCGGATTATTTTTGGGTAGTCAACTTTGTAAAGTTTGGCCCATGGAACAAACGTAAGTTTCATAATTTATAGTATTCTTAACAAAACGTTCTTTTTTAATATATTATATTTTATTAGATATAAGCTTGCAAAAGATTGTATAATAGAAAGAATAAAAGAAAAATCTTTGCAAACAAGTGGAAAGACGTTATCCGAAGAAGCGAAGAAGATTTTACCAATTTTAATCCTTATTTATAATGTATTTATAAATTTACGCCATGAAGTTAAGCGAATATTAAAAGGTTAAGTCTATTTTCATTTAACTCATTCATTTTTGTTACGTAAATTAATTGTTTTTATACGACTTAAAATAATAGATCTAGAAGCGAAGTTTAGACCACGGAGAGGTGCTACCACGTTTGGATTGAAAAGAACATCAGAGATATTTATTGCGCAATTATTAGAACAAATACGTGATAAACCTGGTAGTTCATCTAAATCTCAAAAGAAGAGAGTGATTTTAAGGGCAGAAATATAATTTCTAAATGTAGACGATTTTAAAATATTAATAGTATAATTATTTTCCTACAAATGTTAGCAGATTATACATGTATAAATTATGTACGATAAAATTTTATTTATTATAATTTAGGAAATCTTATTTTTTTTTTTATTAACTTTTCTATATCAGATATTTAAAATTCAAAATGCATAAAAATAAGTACATATATATAAACTTTTAATTTTACAAATTGTAACATATAGGACCTTTGCAATAAAAATGGGAGAATAGCTGAAAAAAATAAAGAGTTAATATTAATTCTAAATATTTTAACCTAAAATTATGATTTTTTTTTCCGACAGATTCCCTCCTTTTTATTGTAAAGATGAGCATTTTATAATTCAAAAAAATTTTTTGATAATGTTAAATTTACTCAATAATAATTATAACATTAAATAAAAAATTTAAATTAAAATTTTTTTTTATAATTTCTTTTTACTGTAAAATACTTATATTATTATTTATTATTGACTTTTCTTTAATATTAATTATTATTTAACCATATAATTAAGATAATTTATTTTATTAGAAAAAACTTTTTTTTTTTAATTACAGGTGCTGATCAAAATTATGCAAACACTTTTTTTTTTACCAGAATTATGCAGATTATCAAATAATCATATGCTATATTTATCACTGATTTTTTATTTATTAATGTGATAAATGAATATATAAAGTTTTTTAGCCTTCCCATTTTTATATTTTTAGTATATTAAAGGATCCTGAAAGATAGGGATGTTAAAAAGTCCCATAAGACTAGGTCTTAAATAGTTTTACAAAATCTGGTCTAGTTCAAGATTTTTTAAACTATAGGACTGCGGTCCTAAAACTGCAGTCCTATAAAAATTAGGATTTGTAGTCCTAGAACTCAGTCCTATAGAAATTAGGACTTGCAGTTCTTGGATTGCGATCTTATAGAAAAATAATCGTTCAAAAAGAATGATGATAAATCGTTTGACTTGAATGATAAAAGAAATAATCATTCAGAAGAATGATGAGAAATCGTTTGACTTGAACAATAAAAAAGTTATTTAAAAAGAATGATAAGAAATCATTGAACGATAAAAATTCATTCAAGAAAAACAATAAAAAAAATCATTCAAGAAGAACGATGAGGAATCATTCAACTTGAACAATTATTTTTCTATAAGATCACAGTCCTAAGACTGCAGTTTCAGAATCTGATCTTAGAATCTATTCTTAAAACTCAAGTTCTATGGACTGGGTCTTTTTTAGGACTGGGAGTTTCAGGACTAAATTAGGACTGGACTGGAATTTAATAATCTTACTAGAAGAAAAATTCTTCCAGAATATTATAAAAAATTGATTGATAATATGCCATAGAAGATTAAAGCTATTATTGCCACAAATGACAATAGAATTAAATATTAATATCAGAATTTTTTTTGTAAAAATTAATAAATAATAATAAAATAAATATACTTTACCTTATTTTATTTCTAATATACAGTCAACTCTTTCTACAACGAATTTTGATATAACGAATTTTACAATACAACGGATTTTCATTGTCGGAC